AAATATTGTAATATTGATCAGGTTTAGTATTTGCAGTACATTTTTCCCCTGTTTATATGAATACCAGTTTATATGAATGCCAGAAACTTTTACATCCTCCTTTAGGAATACTTAAGCACATGCTTTTTGTCTCCAAAGTTTGATGCCTCCAATACAGCAAGGTTGCTCAACCTTTTTCAAAATGCATTTGAGATGCATTTTTTCATTCTCTTTAACTAAGTGAATAGGGTCATACTTTTCTCACAGCTTAGCAAAAAAATAGATTGTTATATTAAAACATTTATAAAACTAAAGTACAAAGCAGGATATTTAAAGTAAAGTAGAATGAAGAGGAACAACTTGATGTGCAGTATCAAAACATTGACGTTTTGTGAACCTTCTAGATTTAGTCCCTGAATTATGTATTATGAATTAATTACATTCCGCTGTTATACCCCCAAAAACGAATGAGGCAAGGACAGATTCTTTGCTTAATGGTTTGGTATGAAGCTTGGTGATCTAATGAACATTGTTTCAATGTGAGCCTATCCATTTTGATCATCTAGGTCAGGGGTGTCAAACTCGCGGGCCAAATGTGTCACATCTTGCCCCTGCCCAGTTTAGCAAAGAGGAAAAAAGTCCCAATACGTCAAGTGTTGACGTGAGTTTGACACTCCTGATCTAGGTGTCATGAGGTCAGGGGGTGATTCTTTGGTAAAAGCTCAAATAGTGTTTTTTTTTTCTTTTTATGTTAAAGGTGGAGAATGTATCCCTGTAATTTTCAAAGTATTCACAGCTAAATTTCCGGCTCAGCTACTTTGATTCCTGGATAGTCCCTATCTATAGGTCAATGGAAGTGATGCAAAGTAAATTTAAAAGAGCACTGTATGTGCCCAAGGATTATATCCAATGTGATTTTATGGCTTAAGTTTACCCAAAAGAAGATCAAGTTGAGAATTTGATCAATGGGTAGAATTCCAGTATTTCCTATTTGGACAAATTCCACCCATTTTGTTGGATTAATTCCAATGTTTGCAGTCCCAAATCATCTTAACAGAGGGCCAGTTTGGTCTAGTGATTAAGGCACCAGGCTAGAAAGCAGGAACTCATGAGTTCTAATCCTGCCTTAGCAATGAAAGCCAGATGGATGATTTGGGGCCAGTTACCCTCTCTCAGTCCAACTCGTCTTACAGATTTGTTCTGGGGAAACTAGGAGGAGGAAAGAGTTATTAGGTATGTTTGTCCCTTGCATTATTTATAAAATAATAAAGGTGGGATGTAAATACAAATAAATAAAATTAAAAAATGTTCTTCTTATGGCCTTTAGGTCTATACGTTTTCTTGAATTCTTTCAGGCTAAGAAAACCATTAAAAACAGCTCCACTCAAAAGGGCCAAATCTGCTGCCACCAGCTGCCCTTACCACCTTGCCCTGCCTATTGCCATCTCACTTCTCTCAGACCCCACCCAGGGCCTCCATTTGTGCCCCACCCAGGGTCTTCTTTTGCACCAGCGCAGCCAGAGCTTCTCTTAAATCCCACTCAGGACCTCTGTTCACACACCAGATATAATGCAATGTGTGATGACCTTGAGAAACAAGTTGAAGAAAGGCTGCCCAGGAAACAAACAAAAGAGGTAGGAGCCCCCAGAGAAAGAAACTAAGAAGGGAACCTGAGTTAGTGGATCAAGGAATTAAAATTAGCTGTGGGAAGTTTGGCGTCAGCCCTCCCAGATTAACCAGATAGCCAACACTACTAGATGAACGAATTCTGCTTTATTTTAAAGCTATATTAATAGATTCTTATTCCACATCCCTTAGTGATGGTAATCTCAGCAGTCCTCGTTGCTGTCATTAACCAAATCCTACTGGCCATGAGGTAAGGACCCATCCCAATTCAAGTAGTTCCTAGCTTGGTACCTTCCAGTCCCAAGCTTCAATAAAATAAAGGGGTGCTTCTTATTGAATCCCACCATCTGCCTATCTTTCCCCAATATCTCCCCTTTTGGCTGCCCATTATCTGCTGATTCTAGCTGCCCCTGCCACCTGGCCCTACCTGCCCGTAGGGTACCAGCTGAGCCTTTTGTGCCACCTTCTTTTGGACTGATTTAAAACTGCATGCTTTACACACTTTACAAGAATAGATCAGTAATGGGAAAACCAATCCCAGTTACTGTAGTTAATCTAGGATTATCTGTATAACATCTTTTTTATTAATTTATTCTATTATTAGTGCTGATTGATTAAATTCTTTTATTCTTGAACCAGAGAGCTTGGATATAGGATTCACATCCAGACATTTAGATGTGCTCCATATTCTTTCCCTTATTAAAAACAGCTTCATGTTTGTTTCTTTCGTGTTTGATCGCAACATTTCAAGATGCAAGGGCAACCATAATGCTCAAGCTACATTGTTAGCAAGTTGTCAATGTTAATGCCAATTTCTTTTGTCTTTTTGCAATAAACAATTGAAAAACTATTTTATGTCTTAGAACTATGTCTCAGAAAGCAAAAATACCTTTTTACTTTATCCCCACTAGCGTCATTCTTTCACGAAACACATACCTTGTAACTTTCAACACCTTTGGAGGTGTTGGAATCATAGCTTCCTCCCCTGTATCAAACATTACAGATTTTTAAAAAACTTAAGAAAAATATGCTAAATTAGCTCCCTGAACTGCCAAGAGTTCAAGATGCAGGAGATATCATTAATGGGAGATATTTTTATTTTGAACTTTGCATATAATCAGACTTTCCCAGTCTTAAAAGAATTATTTGCTATGAGTTTAATAGTATATTTATGTTGAATATTTTGGAATTATTCTTCCTTCAGAATAGAGATTATTGTGCAATATATATATATGTGTAAAAACATTTTCGAAAGTTGATAATACACATAGTCCTTGACTTACGACCACAATTGAGCCTAACATATCCATTGCTAAACAAAACAGCTGTTAAGTGAATCATGCCAGGATTGTTAAGTGAATCACTGCAGTTGTTAAGTGAATCATGTGGTTGTTAAGCAAATTTGTTTTGCCCCATTAACTTTGCTTGTCCGAAACCAACTGGGAAGGCTGCAAACGTTGATCACATGATACCCAGATGTTGCAACTGTTGTAACTATATGCCGGTTGCCAAGCACCCAAATTTTGATCATGTGACCATGGAGATGCTGCAGTGATTAAAAGTGTGAGAATTGGTCATAAGTCAGTTTTTTGTGCTGTTGTATCTTTGAATGGTCATTAAACAAATGGTTGTAAGTCGAGGACTACCTGTATAATACTGTAAAATCAAGAGACGGCAAAACAGATCCTTAATTTTCATTCCTTTATATCCTTAATAGTCTTTAAACTTCTTAAATCTGGAAGCTAGCAGTTCTTATTAGCCGTAGTTGTCTTCCCCTTGCAGCTATGGTATAACGGAAAAACTGGTAGTTAAAAATGAGAAATGTCCACCCTGCACCTCCCAAACGTTTTTAATGAGCTTCATTGTTAAGCTGTTGCTTTGGCACAAAGTTCTTTCTGCTCCAACATTTATTGAATTTTAAATTTCTGTTTATATTAAATTGTTTTAAATTGTAAATTTCTCATGTTGTTTTTAAGTCTGTGGTTTGGTTCATTTTTGTCAATAAATAAATGAACAGGTCTTTTTTAATTCATTTGTTTAAATCGGTTCTCTTTATCTAATTTTAATCTTGTGTAAAGAACAGATCACATTTTCAGTCATATTTATAGAGTTCTCTTTATCTAATTTTTAGTCTTGTGTAGATCACATTTTTCAGCCATATTTACAGGTAGTTCCTGACTTATGACTGTTGCTTAACGACTGTTAAAAGTTACCACAGATCTCTCGTGTTATTTAAGACCTAGTCCCAAAGTTCTGTCAGCTCCCTCCCCAGGCAGACATTTACAGCAGTTAGTAGAGTCCCGCAGTTACATGGCAGTGCTTTACAACAGTTTTTTCCCCCAAAACCAACATTAATTCTGGCTTTCAGCAAAACCTAACTACTGTGGACCATTGATTCACTTCATAATCATGGCATTCATTTAATGACCACTGCAAAAAATCAGATCACATTTTGACTGTCACTACATATGACTATGATCAGTAGGTTCCATTATGGTTGTACGTTTCTGCATGTAGAAATAATGAAAATTCAATTTACAAAGTTTTAAGGACCACTGCATTTACTATCATATTGCACAGTTCTAGTGTCATGTCCTGTCTTCTATGTACTTCCATATCTGCAATGCCGACTACTGCTCCTGTAGAGTCAAGATGTCCATCAATATCTTATCCAGCCCACTTATCCAAAATGGAAAGAAACTAGATCTATCTAACACTAGAAACAGTTTGACATACTACATTGGTCCAAAACTGTTAAAAATCCTCAGCTCTAAATGAGGATTAAAAATCCTCAGCTCTAAATGAGGATTAAAAATCCTCAGCTCTAAATTTATCCTGGTCAAATCTACTCTGTCCAGTGTAATGAAAAATGCTAATAAACTTTGTAGTACAGGGAAGCATTTTCCATATTTCTCCTCCTTGATAGCTACCTGCTCTATAAATTCTACTGTAGAAAACATGGAGAAAATGCTCAAGACAAGACAAAGAACATGTTTGAGTAATATAATGCTGAAAGAACTATTATTAAAAAAATACTCAGAAGCACCAATGCTGTAGTCTCTTAAAGCAGTATAGACATCAAATGTAGAAGAATAAAATATATTAGCATTTGTAATAATAGCACTAACTAGATACCTAATACTTTTCTTGTTTACTGGACTCAGCTGGTAATCAAAATAATGTACTCTTAGTTTGAATTTGCTGTTGTTTATTCTGATTAAAGTTCCCAAGGATTTAACTGAATTATAGTTGATAATAATTTTGCACAATGTAAATTTTGTATTCCACCATATTTTGCATTAAATTAGATTTTTTGATAATTTTGCTATTAGCAAAAGTATGTTGAGCTGTATTATAAGGCTTATGCATTCTTAACATTACTTTTCTTTTTTAAGGAATGATAACTTGGGTGAACGTGAATGAATAAAGTCACTTCTGCAAATGTAGGGCAGAAGGCCAATGGTGCAAACAGTATGGCCCTAATGAACGGACAGACCAGTAATATTAATATTATACCAACTGCTTCAGAGGTAAGGAAGAAATAAAGAATGTCTTATGCAGTCAACTTAAATAATAACAGAATAGGTCCATAATAATCATATATAATGCAGTACAGAAGGGGGGAAAGTTTAAATATTATGGTAGAAAGTTTAAATATTATGCAGACATTTCCTCTGTATTATAAATCTATAAGGCATGTACTATTTACAATATAAAATATGTAAGCAAAGAACAACCCAGGTAGTCCTTGAATATGACCGTAATTGAACCTAAAATTATAGTTGTAAATTTTGACAGTGGTTAAACCATGTGACTGTGCCCAGTTTTATGACCTTTTTTGCAGTGATCATTAAGTGACATCTGTAGCTGTTAAATCCATTTTATCCAACGGGTGTTTTTTGTCAGTAACTGGAAATAAACACTATAAAGAGGCAAAAAATGCTAAAAATCATGGACAAATGACATGGGCCACTGCAAACAGCCAGAAGCGTGAACTGATTTTGCCAAGTGCCAAAAATGCATTCGTGCGACCATAGGAGTATAGCAACCAGAATTCCAGAATCAAATCATAAGTACATTTTCGCAGATCCATTGTAACTTGAAATAGTTGCCAGGCAACCAGTTGTTAACCAAGGACATCTTGGACATCTTCATTTTGTTTTTAAAATGATGATTATACAGTACTGTTATTTGCATCTAGGAGAGTCATGTCTTCTCACTGCACCTCTTTTTATTTCACTGATTAGATTTGGGGGGGGTGTATATTATAAAAATTACATAACTGAAAACATAGTTTGATCCCATTTGAAACATTATTTTAATTTGAAATATTCAGAGTTACCTACTAGAAGTTATCAGATAGCATTTGACAATTTAGGTGGATAATTTGCCCATTGATAATCAAAAGTATTAGAAATATAGCACAATGGTCACTAATAGGAAAACTATCTCAACAATCCAGAGACAGTGATTGTATCAATAATATGTGTGCATGTTAATGGCTTTTACCAAAAAGGAGTATTGTTCATTCTACCGGTTCAGCCTGGTTATGCAGAGCTGGTAGCAGTGATGAACAGCGGAGACTGAATCGGTTCTCTCCGCTGCTCTGCTGTTTGGCCCATCCGCCTGCCCGGGTTCCCATACTCACCTTTATCCGCTGAATTTGAAGCGTGCTGCGGGCAGCTGCTGAAGTGATCGGGATTATGCAGGTTTGCAGGAGGTGAGTTAGAACACCTCTGCACCTGCACAAATGCCTCTGTGCCTGCGCAAAGTGCGCATTTGGCATGCACCCGCACACAAAGTGTGTGCACGCGTGCAAAGCGCGCCCACCAAACCATGCTCACTGAACCGGTGGTAAAAATATTTGAATCCCACTACTGGTATTATTACCAATATTAATTGATTCTTTATGCAAATAGAATTTGCAATTTATGTGAGGGGAAAGAGAGGAGAGAAGAACATGGCTCTTTATCCCCAAGCCACAGCTCACTACCAGGCCACGGTCTGGGTGAATGTGCAGGCAAGGACGCGCACAACTCCATTTGTGAAAGTGGCAGACGTACCTGCCTGCCACTCGCACAAATGGACGGAGCTGCACACATGTACTCACCCACCTGTGGGGAACCATCCCTTTTTCCCACCCCTACCCTGCTGGTCTGCAAAGCCAGAAAGGTTGGGACTGCTGTTTTATAAGACTTGTATACTATATTTTCATTAGATTGACACAAAAATTAGAGATTTCAAAAGGTTTTCTCTAGTTTAATTCCACTTACTTGGTTTTTAGTAATGCATTTTACATTTCTGTACATACAGTGGAATTCAGTTCTATCTTCAAGACGGCATCTGTAGTATTTCTTTAATTTAATAAATAATTTATGAAATGTATTTGCTGCCCAACTCTTAATGACTCACAGAAATTATAACACCAAGAAATTATGGCAAGAATGACAAACCAGATAGAATAAAGCAAGAAGTCTCACTCTCCTTTGCCTAAGGCCTGGGTGAAGAACCACGTCTTCACAGCTCTTCTAAACAACACTAGAGTAGGGGCCATCCAAACTTTGGTGGGAACCTTATTCTACAATAATACAGGTGCTGCTATAGAGATGATGCGCCTCCAGAGACCGAATAGATAATTCAAACAAACCCAGAACATATCAATCCTACAAGATCAACTCATCTGAGTTATATTGTGGGTGATGGGCAGTTCCTCAAGTATAGGTAGTCCTCAAGTTACAGCCGTAATGGAATCTGCCCATTAGGATTGGAAGTTGGGACAGCATTAAATGAATTGCCCTAAGTAACTATCAGCGATCTCTGCTCTCTCCAGTGCATTTGTTTAATCAATGCACAGATTGTTAAGTGAAGCTCGGGGATGGGGGAGATCCTGGGGAGACTTAAAGGCTAGACTGTGGACTGCCTCGAGTGGCAGTTAGACAGAAGTTTGCAAAGACCCAGTATTCTCTATTTTGTTGCACTAGTTAGCTTACTTTTGGAGATGATTTTTTTCCCCTCCAGTTCAAGAGAAAAAGCTGCAGAAAAAAAACTCTTTCCTTGCTTGCTTTGTTCCTCTACTTTTCAGTTGGAGTCAAGGTGAATGTTTTTAAAGGGTTAGAGATTAGAGAGCAGAGGCAGAGTCTTTATTTTTAGCCGCTAAATGGGGAGGGGAAATCTGTCCCTCCCAGATTTTGTTTTGTTTATTGAAAAAAATGTGGGTTTCTGGGGAAGGGAGGAGTTTAAGTAACAGAAATATTTGGGGAAGCTCATCCTAAAGTTGCTGCTTTTTATTCAGGGGCTGGCTTCCCAAAGCCCAGCAAGAGGCAGGAGAGCTTTGCAGCCTCCCAACGGCCAGCTGATTGGTGCAGAAAACTCTTAAAAGTAACTGCCATTTCCACCAAGGAATTCTCAGGGGTCTGAAAATGGCAGCTGCTTCCAGGAGGCCTAGGAAGCACATCCAAGCTCTGTGAGTCCCCTCAGGGTGGGATGGGGGAAGTGCGGTGACGTGTTGCAGCAAGTGGTTTGTCATGAATGACTGTAGGGGGTCATAACTTTGAAACAGGTCATATGTAGTTTCGGGATGCGTAACTTTGATCCCCTACTTAAGTGGTCTGTCATTTCTTAAGGATTACCTGTAATTAGGTTCCATGTCATGTAGGAGTTTGTAGGTGATGACCAACATCTTGAATCACAACTTGAAAGAAACTGGCAACCAATGCAGCTCATGAAACAGCCTCCAGGTGGTCTTCAAGGATTTCTCCATTATATAATACATCACATAGTCAAGCCATAATGTAACAGGGGAATCTGAAGGATTCCTGGATTTAGGAAAGTGCACACTTGATGCACCAGATTGAATTGTATGGAGTCCTTTGTGACCACAGCTGACATCTGCATGCTCTTTAAGCAGGAGCTGTTCCTCCCCATCGAAACTTACACCAGGCACTGGGTCCAAACCTTGACAGTCTCAGAGGTCAAAGATTTAATTGGGTATCATCACTTCTTTTTGCAGTGTTATGTTCATATCAAAAATGGTAAATAGAATGAAATAGCATAATTTAAAAACTAGTAACTGACCAAAAGCTACCAAGTTACCTTTTCTAGCTTAATGTGAACTTGAATCTAGGTCTCTGATCTTTGCCTAGCACTTCAGTCTATACCAGTGGTGGGATTCAAAAACTTTTACCACCGGTTCGGTTGGCGTGGCTTGGTGGGTGCGCTTTGCGCATGTGCACACACTTCGCGTGCACATGCATGCCAAACACGTACTTTGCGCAGGCGCAGAGGCATTCCAACTGATCTCTGGCAAGCCTGCACTCTCCCGGTCGCTTCGGCAGCTGCCGCACAACACTCTTCTGTGCCATGCAAAGCAGCTGCGCTTCAAAAGGTGAGTATGGGAGCCCGGGAGGGCGGGTGGGCCCAACAGCAGAGCAGCGGAGAGAACCAGTTAGGTCTCCGCTGCTCATCGCTGCTACCGGCTTGGCAGAACCGGTAGCATACCACCACTGGTCTATACATGTAAAAGTTCTTAATATCTCTTTCAGTTAACAAATCGCTACACAAGTTTTCATTTGCCACTGAATAAGTACAATAATATGCAATTAATCTCTCCTAAAAACCACTTAGGAATTCCTTTAAAACCTCTTTGTACTGAAATAACTTATTTCTTCTTGGACAGAAGAGTAGCAGCTCAGAATCATTGAGTGACAAGGGTTCTACTGAATTGAAGAAAAGCTTTGATGCAGTAGTTTTTGATGTTCTGAAAGTTACACCTGAGGAATATGCAGTAAGTAATTAACTAATGTTCCTAATCTAATAATAGTTTTTCCCTACTTTTAGCAAATTGTAACATATTGATTTCTTTCTTTTTTTAATTTTTATTGGTTTTTAAAACAAACAAAAACAAACAAAACATAAAAACATCAGGCCATCTTCCATATATGTACATACAGTGTGCCGGTTGGTTTACAAATTGTTTTGTGCTTCCATTTCGTAGTCTTCAATTACAATTACATTGAATATGATCTTGTATTTTCAATCCAATATTAAATACATTGGTATCATTATTAATCAATCATTTGACTATACTTTTATTCATTCATGCTTTAGGAAATAATCATATTTTACTTAATTTGTTTTGTGACAATTCATATTATCATCCCAAATCTATCCTAAAATCATTTTGTAGATATAATAAGGAAAGAATAAATCTTTATATATTTAGTATTTTCTAAAAGTCTACATATTTCGTTACTATACTTTATTGTCTAACCATTGATAGAATAGATCCCAAACTTTATAAAATTGTTTATCATCCTGTTCTCTAATTTCAAATGTCAATCTGCTCATTTCAGCACATTCCAATATTTTCTTAATGATTTCCTCCTGTGATGGTATTTTCTCATTTTTCCAGTTTTTAGCAAATACAATCCTAGCCGCTGTTAATACATTTACAATCAGGTATTTCAAGTCTTTACTATATATTTCAGGTAAAATTCCCAATAAAAATATCTCTGGTTTCAAATCTATATGTTTTTTTGTCATTTTTTCCAACCACGTGTGGATTTTAGTCCAGTATTTTTTAGCATCCGCACAAGTCCACCACATATGGTAATATGAGCCAGGTGTCTGATGACATTTCCAATATTTTTCGGATTTATTTTTGAACATTCTTGCTATTCTTGTTGGGGGAAAGTGCCACCTGTAAAACATCTTATACAAATTTTCTTTATATGCTGTTGACATTGTCATTTTATAATTTTGAGACCACAATTTTTGCCATTTCTCTAAATCAATCCCATATCCAAAATTCTTCCCCCAAGCAATCATAGTTTCTTTAACTTGTTCTTCTTCTAGTTTAATAAATATCTTCTTCTAGTTTCTAATAAATATCCATACAATTTTTTAATCACCTTTTCATCAGTACCTGTCAAAATCTTATCTAAGTCAGTCAGTTTATCATAGAAACCTTCTGTTTTAGAATCTTTATCATACCTTGAATGTATTTGCGCATATGAGAACCAATTCATCTTTATACCTTGTTCCTCTAGTTTTTGCATAGATTTAAGTTCACCCTTTTCATTCAATATTTCAACATATCTAACTGTTTGTTCCTTTTTGTATATTATAGGATAAGAAAATGCTTCAATAGTCGATAGCCAGACTGGAATTTTCAAATAACATTGTCTTTTAATCTTCTCCCAGTTTAACCACAGAGACTCCCGTATATAATGTCTTCTCAAGTACCCCTGTGTTTTAGTTCCTTTATACCATAAAAAAGCATGCCACCCCAACAACAGATCATGTCCTTCTAATGTCAACAATCTAGTATTTCTTAATGTTATCCATTCCTTAACCCAAATCAAATTTGTAGCTTGGTAATATAACTCCCAATTAGGCAAACCAAATCCTCCTCTTATTCTAGCATCTTGCAAAAGTTTTAACTTTATTCTCACTTTCTTACCTTGCCATATATATTTCAACACAATTTTATTTAAATCTTCAAAATAGTCTTTTCCAAGCCTAATTGGAATTCTTTGAAACAAATATAAAATTCTGGGTAATATATTCATCTTGATTGTTGATATTCTCCCTATTAATAACAGTTGTAAATTTTCCCATTTCGCCAAATCTAGCACTATCTGCTGTTTAAGTTTGATATAATTATTCTCTTTTAGTGTACTGCATCTTGCTGTCAAGTATATCCCCAAGTACTTGATCTTATTCGTGACCTGAATTTTCAATAGGTCTGCCAGTTCTTCCTTTTGTCTTGATAGAATTTTTGTCAAGATCTTTGTCTTATCTTTATTTATTTTCAAACCAGCCACCATTCCATATGTCTATATCTTTTCTATCAATTTTGAAGCTATTTCTAGTGGGTCTTCTAAAATAAAAACCAGATCATCTGCAAATGCTTGCAACTTAAATTCTTCCTTTTTAATTTTCATCCCTTTTATATTCTTCTTCATCTCTAATATTTCTATTTAGCACTTCCAAAGTTAACACAAACAACAGAGGTGATAGTGGGCACCCTTGTCTTGTTCCTTTTCTTATATCAATAGAGTCTGTCAGTTCTCCCTCTATCATTACCTTTGCCATTTGCTTATGATATATAGCTTCTATTGTTTGAATAAATTTTCTAGCAAAGCCCATCTGTTCCAGCAGTAACAACATGAATCGCCAATTCACGTTATCAAATGCCTGCTGTGCATCTAGAAATATCAAAGTCATTTGTTTTTCAGGATGTGCCTTGTAGTATTCCAAAGTGTCCAAGATTACTCTCATGTTGTCTTTAATTTGTCTCTTTGGCAGAAATCCATTTTGATCAGGATGGAGAAAATTATTTAAGTATGTTTTAAGTCTTTCTGCCAATATTGAAGCAAAAATTTTATAATCTGCGTTTAGTAGGGAAATAGGTCTATAGTTCTTGATTTGTAATGGATCGGCCTCCTCTTTTGGAACAAGTGTAATATAAGCTGACCATGATTTAGGTATCCTCTTCTTTAACATAACTTCATTCATAACTTCTAGCAATGGAAGATTCAACGATTCTTGTAATGTTTTGTAAAATTCTGCCGGAAGTCCATCTGGGCCTGGTGCCTTTCCATTATTTTGCTTCTTGAGTGCTTCAGTTAACTCCATCATCGTTATATTGCTTTCTAACATTGTTTCAATCTCTTTAGGTATCTGGGGTAACTTAGCATTCTGTAGGTACTGTTTGACTCTTTCCTCATCAATATTCTCTTGTGTGTATAGTTTCCCAGTCTTGAATGATTTCCTTCTTCTCTTTACTACCATAGCAAACTTGGCCTTGATCATCTATTAATTGCAATATTTTCCTTGATTCTTTCTCCTTTCTCAATTTATATGCTAACCATCTACCTGGTTTATTTGCATCTTCAAAGTAGTTCTGTTTAGCACCTCTAATTTTCTGTGCTAATTCTTCTTTTTCTATTAGACCCATTTTGTTTGGTTATATCCATTTTTAACTTAATGTCCTTTTTCTGTGGCATTTTCTGTAGCTCTTTTTCAAGTCCTTTATACTCATCCTCTAATGCCTTAGAGGCTAATCTTTTCATGGTATTTCTTTTCCTTGTATAGTCTATTATCAAGCCTCTGGCATATGTGCCTTCATTGTATCCCATACATTCTGGATTGATGTATCTTCTTTTTTGTTTTCTCTAAAGAAAAAAGCCAGTTCTTTCTCCATCCACTGTGTGAAGTCTTTTTCCTTTAAAATAGTATTATTTAGCATCCATCTAGATCTTCTTTGTCCTTTCCATTTAATTGTCATTGGATTGTGATCTGCCCAAGTACTTGTTTCAATATTTATTTCTTGAATATTTGTTAACAATTCTGTTGACATCCATATCATATCTATTCTGGACCATGATAAGTGTCGATTTGAGCAGAAGGTGTATTGTTTAGTTTTAGCATTTCTTTCTCTCCATGTATCTTTTAAGTTTATTTCATCTACCATTTTGAAGAAAGATTTAGGGAGAGTCTTTCTGTTTTGCTTTATTGCTTTCTGTGCTGTATAGTCCAGTTTGTTGTCTACAATTCTATTAAAATCTCCCATCATAACTATATTAGCATAGTCCAGTTCAATTATTTTCATATGTAATTTTTTATAAAATTCTTCTTGTTTGTCATTCGGGGCATAGATTGCAATCAGGAGTGTTTTTTTATTATTATCCATTATTTCCACCATTAATATTCTTCCGTCATCATCAGTATAAATCAATTTCGCTGGAATGGTCTCTTTAATATATAAAACCACTCCTCTTTTCTTGCATTGTGTCAAGGAGGTAAATATTTTCCCTAGTTTTGGCTGTATCAACAATTGTTCATATTGCTTTTTAATATGTACTTCTTGTTGGCAGATTATATCAAATTTTAATTTCTCTAATTTATGGAAAGTTTTCCTTCTTTTAACGGCTGAATTGTCCATTTTTATTAATTGTAATCAATTTTTTCTCTTCCATGGTTATATTTTATAATTAGGATTGGCAGCTCTCGTGGATCTTGGTTCACGTTGTTCTTTGGCTTCCTTCTTTCCACCTACTGCACCTTCCTCTTTTTCAGTCGTCATTTGGCAGTCCTCTTGGAATTCAATTAGTGAAATTTCTTTTTCTGCCTCTTCCTCTTTCCCTCTGAAAAATTCTGTATAAAATGATTCAGCTTTCTCAATTGAATCAATTCTGTATCTCTGTTCTTGCCATGTGAACATTAAACCTTCTGGAATCAGCCATCTATAATTCACCTCTTTTTTAAGTAGCAATTTGGTCAAGAATCGGTATTCTCTTCTCATCTCTCTCACTCTTCTGGGTACTTGTTTCAAAACCACTATCTCCTTATCTTTATATTTCAATGTTTTCTCTCTTGCCACTTGCAATATTTGCGTTTTAATGGCTTTCTTTGTAAATCTGATGTGAACTTCTCTTGGTAGGCTGTTTCTCATTGCGTATCTTGTGAAGACTCGATAAACCTCATCTATTCCATCCATCATCTTCTCTTCAGTTATTTCCAAAGCTTCAGCCAATATTTCTATCATTATCTCAGCTAGATTTTGTCCTTTTTCTTCCTCTATGTTTTGGAATCTAAGATAAAATTCTGATCTGTCCATCTCCCATCTCAGCATACCACTTTTATCTTGTTTAACCACAGTTAATCTGGTATCAATGTCTCCAATCTTCTTATCTCTTTGTTTATCTTCTTCAATTTTTAGTAGTCTCTCATCATACTTCATCATTTGTTGGATGTTCTCGACTTTTTCATCGGTTTTCCCTGTTCTTTGTTCAATGTTCTCTATTCTCTTTTCAATATTCTCTGATCTGGTTTGAATGTTTTGAATTCCTTGCATAATCATCTGCAGGGTCACTTTTTCTTTTTCTTGTTCTTTCTCTTGCATTAACATTGTCTGTATTGAATGTTGTCCTCCAGATGGTGGAGAGGAGGAAGTAGAAGTTGAAGAACCAGAAGCTGTTAATTTCCTACTCATTTCAAACAATTCAAAATCTTCAGGTTTTTCTAGACCTTAATCCAATTGTGAAGTAACCAATTGCGATTCCAAATAAAAATAGTAGGGAAAAAGAAGCCAAATAGTAATAATAATAAAAAAAAGAAAAAAGAATTTCTTCAGGTTCTTGTATACCTTAATCCAATCGATTAGTTAGATAACAATGAAAATTCAAAAATGAAGGAAAAAACCATAAACATACACAAAAGAGAAAAAGTTGTAAAATCCTAAAAAGGACGGAAAAGTGAGGAATAAAAAGCTTTTAAAAAAGGAAAAATTCTTCAGGTTCTTCAACACCTTAATCCAATTAAGAGGTCTAAAATATAAAAGGCTGCATAAGAGAAAAAGAAAAAAAAAGCCAGGAAGATAAAAAGAAAGAAAAAACCAGTATTGGAGGTAGATGGAAAAACAAAAGTACCAGAAAAGCAAAAAGAAAAAAAGGCTACTCCCTTAAAAAGAAAAGAAAGGGAATCATTAATACTAAAACTTTTCTTTTAAAATAAAAAGCAAACGTAAAAATTTAACTTCCAAAGACAAGCATAAAAAAAAAGCAAAGACAAGTTCCAAAGAACTAAAAATCCAAATAGCTATTTCAAAATGTAAACTGTTGAGGAGGGGTAGCACAGCTTTGAAAAAATCAAGAAAACACACTGCACTTTGTTTAGTTATCCAAGGCTCTTGTTATAACACTCTTCTCCAGAAACTTATCATCTTTTCTTTTCCTATAAACTTCAACACCAGACTCCAGCTATTGATAAGAAACCCAGAAGAGCACCTGCAATAATACTCTCCCATGCTGTTCCCTCTATCTTATCAAATAGCAATGTCCTTGAAAAAAAAGTCTCAGTTCTTTCTTTCTCAGCTTTGTCTGGTCACAAGAGAAATAGAATATTTCCAAGCCTCTAGTTGGCAGTGTTACAAAGTTTCTTTGCTTTCACTTTCCCCCTCCTTTTCCAAGCAAAATGTAATAAGAATTAATAAAAGAAAAAAGAAAAAGATATTTTAAAAAAAGAAATAACCTAAATGCTAGCCTAAAATGTTGCAAAATCAAAAAGGAGAAAAAAAATAGATGGAAAAGAAAAAACCAGTCCAGTTTCAAAATATAAGATCATGTATAGAAAACCCAGCAATGAGAAAAAAACATTACTTTGACATTCCTGTTTAAAATCGCCGCTTAATCACTTCTGTCAAAACTTTTACAGATTCTTTCTTTTCCTTAGGGTGTCCTTTCAGATCTTAGAATAAAGAAAAAGTTCTCACCAAACCGGCACACTCTCTCTTTCTGTTCTCTTTCGTTTCAGAGCTGTCCCAACTTCAGCAGCTTTAATGGCTGCCTCTTTGCCGCTGGCAAGAAGAGCTTCTCCTGGATCTACCAGGGACTTTGCGGTATCCCTGGGATCGACAGGATGCGCTCTTCACTTTCACCGTCTCTTCGGGACAGTTTAGATCCGATAGGACCGTCCAGGAGCAAAGATATTGGCAGCGATCTCAGACCTCTAAGATCGCATGCCGTATCGTCGCGACGCCAGCTCCGCCCCCCCCCCCAAACATATTGATTTCTTAGAGTTAAAAGAGAGTTTTGGATACTCTGTATCAGAGGAATGAAGAATCATACAGAAGTCTCCTATATACACTGCATTAAGAGAAACTATTAGGAAAACTGTATATGGAAAGAACATCTTCTCTCTTTATCAGTATTGTCCTCTATCACCATTGATTATTAGCTAGAATTAAAATTAATATAGACTTTCAAATCAAAACTAAAACTATTTGTTTATTAACTACTTTAAGTATACCAACATTACTGTATACACACACACACACACACACACACTTTTTTGTATTAAAGAAGATGACTTGTATCCAGACTTACATAAGCAGGATGTTCACCATTCTTCTCAAAAAGTATGTTTGAGATTCAAAGAACATTCTGAATGGAATGGGAAATCCTTTTACGTTAGCCTGGATGCTAGCAATTTTTGTACAGTTTTTGCTATGTTGAGAATTGGGTAAAAATATATTCCTAATTCTCAATCTCTACCACTTCAATTGGTCTTGTGCATTATTTATACTGGCTTTTGGAGTTTGTCTTTTGAACTACAAGTCAAGCTTCCTTTTTTAGTCTTTTACCACAGAGAATCCTTATTTTTAAGGGCTCTTAAGCTGTAAAACATTGCAGGAAAATGACTATGAGAATTCTCTCTTATGTGCATGTGAGAATTTAATTTCTTCAGCAGATAATTTTGTGCCTGAAATCAGATATACTTCAAAATAGTGAATACATTCAAAATTGATTCCATTTATTTATGAACACTGCAGTCCATAGTGATTTCTTACTGAGCAATGTCTATAAAGTGTTCAGATTACAGGGTAAGTGTCATAAACAGGAGCTTACCTTGACCTTCTGTGATAGTTACCTACAAATAAAAGAATATGCATGAAACTGAACTGTTCTTGATCAGATTCATTTACTTGCGATGAAGCCCATTACAATTCCATTCTTAGAGTGATTATTCTGCAAAACTAATTCCTCATGTAGTTTTGGACACACAGAAAGTGACTGTAAATTGAAAAGGAAAATGCAAAGTGAAAATACAAATATTGTTTTGAAATATATTAATATATGAATGGTGAGTTGGTTTGATGTTATTAAGATGCCAAGACTTCAGGGACTTCCAGATGAGAAGGAGAAGACGATAAAGACAATAATGATTGATGAAATAAACCAAGGGAAAAGTACGTTAAGAGTCTTAAAAATGGAATCAGATAACCTGGAAGATGTTTTTGAAAGGGAGATAGGGGTTTGGGTGGATACTCTGGAGATCTGGCAGCTTAGGAGGATAGAGATGGGAAAAATATTCAGTCTGAATGGGGAAGATACAGATGTTGATAGAAACAAATATCCAAGAGAGGAGTATGGTAGGCAGGCCAAAAAACGAATAAGAATTGAAGTATTAAAACAGAAAACGAATGAGAGATGATGGATAAGAAAGGAATTATTATATATTTTTTCTTTTTTTTTAGTATGATGGCCTGATAGAAATTTGAATAGGTAGAAACAAGGTAGAAACAAGAATACACACTTCCATATGAAGCAATAGTTAGATGGAAAGATTGTAGGTTGAAAGATGGCATTATAAGGTATGTTTAAATAATAGGAAGACTGGTACTTGAATGGCGTATTGAACAACCAAATAACGAAGGACTATGTCAATATAAACATGTGTAATACTAGGATTAGCAATGGTGACTTGATCAGAAGCTAGAATAAAGGTAGAAATAAGAAATAGGGGGAATATTAGCAGATATAATTTTTATATAACAGAATATGTAATAATTTGATGGAAAAAATCAGAGGTTGAAAGATAGTATTACCATGTATGCTTATAATATCATTGGCATTAAAATGGAATATTGAAATATTGAATAACTACTCTTAAAAAACATGTATATTAATACTAGTATTATATGTTTGATTAATATAACAACTTTTATGATTATCATTAGTTATGTTTGTATCAAAATGAATTATACTCAGGGGCCACATTGTTCATGTATGTATACTTGATGTATACTTAAAAATAAAAAACTAATAAAACTTGGTAGGGAGGAAGATGCCAAGACTTCTAAGAACAAAATCCTTTCTGTGTTTCTAATTTACAAAAAAGCATTCCTGACTATAATATGCTACATTTCTTTATATTCTTAACACGTGGTAGCAGTTGAGTGGAAATGACTGCAATCCACAAAAATGTGTTCCCAATCAGCTAGAATTCTTAGTAATTCTAATAATAACTAGTATTAATAATTCTGGTTGATCACTCTGGAGATTTTGAAATTAAGTTATACTTTCTCTTTTGAATTGTCAGCCTCTAAATTGCTTCTATTAAAGAATGCTTTCCTAAAAAAAAATTTTCAGGACTGCTCTAATTTCTTGCTTACCCTAAAATGATAATTGTAATTACTCACATAGGTAAAGAAACATAGAAGGAGCATGCTATCATTTTGCTAGCAATTGTTCTAGCATTAAATAATCAAATGAACCTAGTTGTGAAATAAGGAACATAATTTTAATTTTCTTATAACTTTCATTTAAGGGCCAGATTACCCTCATGGATATTCCTGTATTTAAAGCTATTCAGCCAGAGGTGAGTGTTTCATAGAAAACTTAAAATAATTTGATAGGAAACAAGTTCCAGTTTTATTATGATGATGTCCATATTTCATCTACTTTTAATATATGGTAGATGCATACAGAATGTATTCTTTTGCTTTAATAGGCTTAATGATTGATATCTGAATAGATAGATAAGTAAAACATATAATGTAATAATTAAATATATTTTGCTGCTTAAATATTCTTATATATTATATTAGGTGGGTATAGTATAATACTGTATAGAAAATACTAACATGACAGTCCAGAAATTAATTTTAATTATGCACTGATTATAGCAATAATTTAGCAAAATCATTATCTACAAAAGGTTGCTCTTGAAGATCACCCAGAAATTGCAACTGGTGCAAGATGCAGGACCGTAATGTGTTTTCCCAGATTCACTCACATTACATGCTGGCAACCATTGGCTGAGTTCCATTGTTACATGAGTTCCATTGGCTCTCATTTCCTTTATGTGTTTTCTTTAAAAAAAAAATATTTTTATTGACTATTATAGTGTTATAGATAAAGAAACAAAAAAGGTAAAGACGAAAGAAAGATAAAAAGATAATTAAAAATGCAGACTAAATAAAGAATAAAGAAAGAAATTAACGACATTTTTAAAAAAAGAAATAGAGATAGTCCTTAACATACAACCACAATTGAGCCCAACGTTTATGTTGCTAGGTGAGAAATTTGGTGAGTTTTTATGACTTTCCTTGCCACATTTGTTAAGTGAATCACTGCAGTTGTTAAAATTAGTAACCTGATTGTTAAGTGAATCTGGTTGCCCCATTGACTTTGCTTCTCAGAAGATTGCAAATGGTGATTACATGATTGAGGGACCCTGCAACCATTATAAATGTAAGTCAGTTGT